AAGTTTTCTACTCCCATAAAGATGTCTAGCCTTGACAAAGACGCAGGAGCAGTTCTACTCTGTCCTATAGGGTGCTTAAGAGCCGGGATTGACTTGACGGCAGGGAATGGGAGGGGAAAATTGATGTCAAGACCCATGGAGCTCTTCAAGAAACACTGGGCCCCTGGATGGTGCAAGGAGACTAGGCCCTTTCTCTCCAGCTGACGGAGAGAACTGTGTCCTCAGGCTGGCACGCTAGCGCCAAATGTCTGGCCTCCTAAACTGTGAGAGGATAGAGCTCCGTGTCAAAGGCCTTCACGTGTGGTATTTCTGTTGCAGGGGCACTCAGGAACGAAGACAGTCAGGGTCGGTAAATACTTGGTAGGTGGTGTTAAATGAATTACGTAAGGTCAGCAGTCCGAAATTACCAGTCGCTCTGTGGGAGAAAGATGGGCTTTCCACTCCCATAAAGAGTCGCTCAGTCTGAGAAACTCACAGGGGCAGTTCTACCCTGTCCTACGGGGTCTCTGGTGGGTCGGAATGGATTCGATGGCAGTGAGCTGGGTTTTGGAGTTGTATTCAAGGGTTGACACGTATTCCTTTCTTGTGTTTTGCGTTTGGCCGCATTGTCTTCTAAACTTTGGGAAAATGCTAAGGAGACAAGTGCATCATAAAACCAAAGCTAAAAACAAACAAACAAACAGAAATATTCATTTAACATGCGGTGCTACTGCGACCAGTGTGGGAGGCATTAGAAGGAGTCAGGTGCGGGAAGTTGAACTGCGAGGTAGGGTCTAGCCAGGTTCCTCCCTGTTGCGGTGAGGGTTGCAGGGACAGGAGAGAACACACCACCCTTCAGGCGCTTACCGATGTGTACACAGTGACTCTCTCACTTCTCAGAACCAACCCCACTGGGTTGTCCCTGTGGTCCCCATTTCACCCAGACCATCTAGCTCAGGAGTCCTTTCTTCCGACCTCAACAAAAGCGACATGATCTCCAGATGCAGAAGACACACACTCACCAACCAAACCAGTTGCATCGTCAATTCCAACGCGTGGTGTGCTCCTCTGTCTGTGTCAGAGGTTGTCAATGGCTGTGTGACTCTCCGGAAAGCAGCTCACCAGGCCTTTGCCCTGAGGCCAGACGGGTGGTTTTAAACCAACAACCTTTCCATTAACAGCCAACTGCACAACCATTAGCATCTATCCTGACTCCGTTAACAAGAGCTTCTAGGGCCCTAAAGAATCGGCAACCCGTTCTCCTCTGGGACTTAACTGTTCTTCTCCTTTTGAACTTGCTTCTCTACAAGTCTATGAATTGGTGATCCCCCTTATACACACACGAGCCTTTCTCCCACCTCAGGGTGTGGTACTTGCCAAGCCGCCTGCTTGGATAGCACGACATCCCAGAGTTCCTCACGACTCGCTCCCTCCCCGACTGTAAACTCTTGCTCAGATATCACCTTCCCAGTCAGACCTTTCTGGTCTCCCTGTTAAAAACGATCCTCTCCCACTTTCCTTGAGGGTGGCTATTTTTGTCCACAACACTCATTACCATGTGACACAAAATAATATTTATTTTGTTGATTACCTGTCAAGCTCCATGAAAGCAGGGTTTAGTTGTTGTTGTTGTTATTGTTTGGGGGTCCTTTCTTTCTTTTTCTTCTATTTGTTTATTCCTGCGGTCCGAATAGATAGACCTTCAACGACTGACAGCGCAGAAGCCGGTTGTTAGCTCTTTCTCCCACCGTGTCTCTGGTGGTGTCCGCGTGTGTGTCAGAGTAGCACTGGATTCTGTAGCATCTTCAGCGGCTGTATGACCCTTCAGAAGCAGGTGATGGACGTGAACCATCACCCTTCGGGGCAGCAGTGGACTGCTTAACTGTTTGCAACCCCAGAGACGCCACAAGGTGGACCATTGCTGTTGTGTTGTCAGGTCAACACTGGCTCATAGAGACCCTATATGCAGAGAACTGCCCGCAGGGTTTCCTGGATGGTCGTCTTCATGGGAGCCAGGCTCCAGGTCTTTGCTCCCTCAGAGCTGGTCGCTGATCTTTCAGTGAGCAGGCAAGCGCTCAACCACTGCACCACCAGGACGCCAGCAAAAAAACCAACAAAACCACCCAAACTTGAATAGTAGTTGTAATTCAGGGGAAGAATATGGGGAGTGTGGGGTAAGAGAGAAATGTGCTATTTTCCAAGGAATCACTCCAATTCCAAGGTCAGGGGTCCCCTTCTGGGTTCTTAAGTATCACATTATTTGGGACAGCTCTCAGATCCAAAGGGGCCCGTCTCTTCCTCAGCCCTATGGACTGAACTGTGTTGCCCATGAATATGTGTTGTAAATCCTAACCCTTATACTCATGAAAGGAGCTCTGGTAGTATAGTAGGGTATGCATTAAGCTGCTAACCATAAGGTCAGCAGTTCGAACCCACCTGCTGCTCCACAGGCAAAAGATGAGGCTGTCTACTCCTGTAAAGATTTAAAGCCCCAGACTCCCAAAGGGGCAGTTCTATTCTGTCGGTCTCCATCCGTCAGATTCAACTCAATGGCAGTGAGGTGTTTTTGTATATATTTTGTAACATATTCATAGATGTAATTCCATTCGGGATTTAGGGACAGTCTTGTTATGTTAAAGAGACCATGTCCGTGTAGGGTGTGTCTTAAACCAATCATGTTTAGAACTATAAAGGAGTAGACTGCACACAGAGAAAGACAGGATGAAAGGGGGAAATAGGTGCCATGTGGAGGTCACGCCAAGAAGAGCACTAGAGAGGCTGAGAGAAGAATTTCCCCCTGGAGCTGACTGAGAGACCCTTTCCTTGGAGTTGATGTCCTGACCTCAGACTTCTAGCTTCGTAAACAGTGAGAAAATAAATGTCTGTTCTTTTCAAAGCGCCCACTTGTGGTCTTTCTGTCACAGCAGCAGTAAGGAAGTAAGGCGCCTCACCACCTAGAGGGACTCATCTGCATGTCCTGGGGAGTGGTTAGATGTTACGGCAACTTGGACCTGGCTGACAGGGTAGAAATGGAGTCTAGCCTGTCAGTCAGCTCACAGCCGACGGTTCTTCCTTGTGGGTGCGGCCTTTTTAGGAGAGCCACTCGGAGACCATCAATCTCTCGCTCCTTCCCTGTGCCTTCCTGCTTTCTTGGATTCTGCATCTGCCTCCAGGACAGCCCCATGTGGGAGCTGTCAGTGAATCCTGGGAGCTGTCAGCACTCTGCCACGTATGTTCCCAGAGACCTTGGATCTACACAACTTTGCACCCACCAGTCTGGGATCTCCCTGCTGCCCACTTCACCTTTCTGCATCATCGGCCAACAGCTACGTGAGACGAAAGAGGGGTCCAGGTAGCATCCGTTGGACTTAGGGACTTGGGTTGGACTGGGCCGGGAGCCTGCTTGACATAAAATTCCTTCATATCAAATCCTTCCTTATACATCTATGAGTGTGACTGGGCTTGTTTCACCAGACAACCCAGCCTGGTAACACACCGCGTTGGAGGCAGAGGCCTCAGGCGGCTTTTTCAGGAAGTGGCTCCCAGGATGGCACCCTGGGGTGGCTAAGAGCCCTGTCGCCCCGCCCCACCTCCCTGATGACTTTTACAAACAGTAAAAGTCCTTTGCTGGAGAAACCGGTGCAGCCACTCTCCTAGTGTTTACTGGCAGGCCCGTGAGCCTTTGTGGGTGCCTGTACCACACCCGGGGCATTTCAAGGAGACACCTTGAAATGTGGGAAAATTCAGGTGTGAGAAAAATCCTGGGGCTTCCCTGGAGCAGGTGAGAGGCAAATGGCTGGAGAGAGAGAGAAAGGTGAGTGAATGGAAAGGTAACGTGAGTCCACCTTTCCATTTGTGGAACGGCCTTATACCCCAAGTAGAGAAATTTATTTTCTTCCAGAAGGCAATGAGAACCAGGGAAGGTCTGGTTGTGGCTTTTAGGTTCACAGGTCCACCCCTAAGAAGCTCGGGTTCCCTCTCAACAATTGGTAAACACTGCCATCCTGTGGCTTTTGATCGATTCACCGCCCAATCATGAGTGGCCAAGAATTTCATATGGTGAGCTAAAAATTAAACCAAAGCTAAGCATAGTTCACCTGTAAAAAGGATACTTTTCCTCAAGTTTTTCCCCCCTGAGGAATCAGTATCTGGGTTCAATTCCCTTGATTTCTTACTTTTGAAAACTAGATTATTTTCTAATCTAGAACTTTAGAAATTCTGAACCCAAGATTGTTTTCTATCCCCAAACCAAATACCATGCCCCGCCCCTCCAAAAAAACACACACACACACACAAAAACCCCCCAGTTGACCTGGAGTGGATTCTGATTGGTATGTCAGAGTAGAACTGTGCTTCCCTAGAGCTGGTTCATATATTTCTATCGGTTTTTTAAAATTCAAATGTTTTTCCGCTGGGAGACTTTGGGCCGTTCACCTAACACCTCGTCGTCATCGTTAAAATAGGGATGCCGCCTTCATCAGAGGGCTGTGAAGGTGAAATGGCAACTTACTGAAAAGATAACCAAGAGAGATGTCTGGCGCATCCCATGTCCTCCTAACAGGGTGGGAGGCGCCCCCTACCTCTTCCTGCCTGTAGGTTCTGGAGGGCATGATATTGTGGAGCCTGGAGCAGGCGCTCAGTGGTCTGAGACCTGAGGTTTACGGGGTCCTGAATAGCATTTGCTGGGAACCACAGCGTCTCAGGCTGGGGTCACTGCCCCTAGCTCCACGCCTTGCTGAAGGCCCCTTGGCCTAGCTGGGGGCTGCATGCAGTTCACGCGTCGCTGTTGTCTCCGTGGTGAGCTGTGAGCTGCGAGCAGGAGCCGGCAGGTGCGTGGGCGCGAGCGGGCGGGGCGCCGCTGCCTTCCCGGGGGTTGGGGCCGTGTGTGGATAATTCAATACCCGTGGGACTCGGCGTCTCGCCTCACCTGCAGTTCCGCGGATTGGCTGACCGCCTCACCTTGCCCCCGCCCTCCCTCCTACCCCCACCCCCCACGGCCCCAGGTGGCCCAGGCGCCGGTGGTGATCTGTGTTTACCGAGAGATCCGGTTCAAGTTCGGCACCTCCTCGGCCCTCGATCCCACTGGGGGCCACAGCCCGGCCGGATCTTTCTCGCCCTCCCCTTCCTCCCACCGGAGAGGTCGGGTAAGGTGAAAGGGTGGGGAGGGGGAGCAGGGGTGAGCATAGGACCAGGGTGTCTCGTCCCGTTACCTCGCGTGGACCCAGAAACGCCACCCCCAGACCTGGTTTCAGCCCCCTCCTGCCCCTTCCCTGCGTGTGCACCCCACGGTGGCAGCTAGAGGCCTAGTCTCGGGGATACCACATCTCTATCGGAAGTCCAGTCCTGGAGACCACGCTCATAGGTGTTTCCTCACCCCTGCAGGCGGCGATGACCCCCAAGGCGGCCGGACCCCCCGATGGGGGCTGGGGCTGGGTGGTGGTAGCCTCTGCCTTCGCGGTGAATGGGCTCTCCTATGGGGTGCTGCGTTCCCTGGGCCTCACGTTCCCTGATTTTGCTGAGCACTTCGACCGGAGCGCACAGGAAATTGCGTGGATCAGCGCCCTGACCCTGGCCGTGCAACAGGCAGCCAGTGAGGGGAACCCCCAGGAGGGAGGGGGGAACGAGAGTGTAGTGATGGGGACCAGTCAGCCTGAGATAGGGCGTGTGGCATGGACTGGGACCTAGCTCTGGAGTGTAGCAGGTGTTGGAGGACGGGGGAGGAGCCACTAGGCCGGGGGAGGAGCTTAAGACAGGTTACAGCCACTGAGAAGTGTTGGGCTGGGGGAGGCCATAGGGCGTGCCTTCCACAGACCCCGCCCCTTCTAGGTCCAGTGGGCAGCGCCCTGAGCACCCGCTGGGGGGCGCGCCCTGTCGTGATGGTTGGGGGCATGCTCACTTTCCTCGGGTTCGTCTTTTCGGCTTTTGCCCGAAGTTTGCTGCACCTCTACCTCGGCCTGGGCCTCCTCGTGGGTGAGAAGGTGGGGGTGGGGTGCCTGGGCTTAGGGAGGGGTATGAGCAGGGTGGGAGTCGGCTGCAGGGATCGCGGCTGGGCATGTTGGGAGCGGACACCCTGTCCCATACCCTCACCTTGCATTATCCAATTGCAGGCTCCGGCTGGGCCCTGGGGTTCGCCCCAGCGTTGGGCACCCTCTCTCGCTACTTTTCGCGCCATCGAGTGCTAGCCGTGGGCCTGGCACTTACCGGCAATGGGGCCGCCTCCCTGCTCCTGGCGCCAGCGGTGCAGCGCCTCCTGGACTCTTTCGGCTGGCGGGGCGCCCTGCTCCTCTTGGGAGCTGTCACTCTCCACCTCATCCCCTGTGGCGCCCTGCTGCGCCCTCTGACACTCCCTGGCGACTCTAAGGCTTCCTCTGGAGGACCCCTTGCGGCCCTTGGCCTGGGTCTCTTCACTCACCCCGCCTTCGCGGTCTTTGCCCTGGGCACCACCCTGGTGGGGTGTGGATACTTCATCCCCTATGTGCACTTGGCCCCCCACGCCTTAGACCGGGGCCTGGGGGGGTATGGGGCTGCCCTGGTGGTGGCAGTGGCCGCGGTGGGAGATGCAGGCGCCCGCTTAGTGAGCGGCTGGCTGGCAGACCAGGGCTGGGTGCCTCTCCCACGGCTGCTGGTGGTGTTCGGGGCTCTGACGGGCCTGGGGCTGCTGGCCGTGGGACTAGTGCCCGTGGTGGGGAGCGATGTATGGGGGGTGCCCCTAATGGCCGCAGCAGGGGCCTACGGCCTGAGCGCTGGAAGTTATGCCCCACTCGTTTTTGGGGTGCTTCCAGGGCTAGTGGGCATCGGAGGTGTTGTGCAGGCCACCGGGCTGGTGATGATGATGATGAGCCTCGGGGGGCTCCTGGGTCCTCCCCTGTCAGGTAAGGGCCCCGAGACAGCAGGTCCACTCCTAACTTTGCTCTGTCCCTGGGGTACCAAGCCTCTAAGTTCCTTTACCCTTGCTCTCAGGCTTCCTAAAGGACGAGACTGGAGACTTCAGCACCTCCTTCCTCATATCTGGCTCCTTCATTCTCACCGGCAGCTTCATCTACCTGGGGATGCCCAGGGCACTGCCCTCCTGTGGCCCAGCCTCAAGTCCAGCCACCCCACCCACCGAGATGGGGGAGCTGCTTCCCAATCCTCAGGTGCAGGTGGCTCCCCTCTCTTCCAAAGGCCCACAACCGACTCTGGATACCACTTGTTGAGTATTTGTTGTTTAAGCTGTTCCCCCAATAAAGTTTCTATTCTCTCTCTCTCTTTTTTTTCCCCTGAAAGTTCCACTGTTAGCCAACCTAGGGCCCTGGAAAATAGATCCTATGTAAGATATCAAAAAAACCTGGTGGAAAACAAACAGGATAGGCCTTGAGGGAGGAAAAGGGGGTCTGCCTGGCTGGCCTGTTGAATCTTCTTCCGCTACATGGTTGTCATCAGAACAGGGACTCTTTGGGATGCTGTCTGCCAGTCCACTTCAGTCTGTTGGAGGAGGGTGCTTACAGGTGCAGTCTCATCCTCATTTCTTCTGACTGGGTATCTATAGGTCATTCTTCCGTACTGGCCTGCAGGAAATACGGGGATCACAGACCCAACTCTTTCCCATCCTTCTAAGTGATGCCCCCCACCCCCCACCCCCCTAACCTGGCCCACTCCCTTAATTTCTTTTCTAAGTCATAGGGGATAAGGGGGCAGAGGGAGGTAAGAAGCTGGGAGGTGTCCAGAGTGAAGAGCTCAATGTTCAAATGCTCTGGGTCCTCCTTCAGAGCTTCTGCATGTCAGCCCTTCCAGTCATGGCTCCATTTAGCCCAACCAAGTAGACAGATCCCAACCCTGCTGGAAGTTAGGATTTACGAGCCAGTTCCTTTATCAGTTTTATCTCCATAAGACTTCCTGTGTCCCACACATCCCTGTCATCAGAAGAAACTGAAGGGCAACTCTCAAGCTCCCATGTAAAACACGAGCAGCCTCCTGGCCTTTGATTTTCACAGCTGCTTCCACAGGCTGAACTCTGGATCCTTTGAGAAGATTGACGACCAAAGCCAAGGCGAGGTAAGCCCTCAGCAAAATGCAAAGTGTGGCCTGTGCAGCCAGGCCTGCTCTGGGGACCGCCGATCAAGAGGCTTAAGGCACTGTGGTTCCACGGGGGCCAAGATGGAGTGGGAAGAAAAGACCAGGAGCTCATGTTCTCCGGGCCTAGTTACCCTTCCTTGGAGTTCAATCCTCTTCCAGACCCTCCTTGGGCAGGGGGACTTTGGTTTCCAGGGTTTCTATTCCAAGGTCTTGGGACCTGGAGGTAGGTGATGTGGAGCAGCAAAAGAAGCCAGGCAAGCTGACCAGAACTGCACTCCCTACAAGGAGGAAGGCCCCAGCCACCACAAAAGAAGCCGTGTAGTTGCCGGTCACATCTCGGAGGTAGCCTAGGGTGTGAGAGAGAAACAATACACGTGAATGCTCCGGTCCCCGGGGCTGAAGTAAACGAAAGGCACATTTTGGGGAGGAGCCAAGAAAATAAGCCTTCATTCACCCATCTTGGGAGAATTCTGTTCCTAAGGTAGGGCTGGGCGGAGCACTCTGGTTTCCCAAGGGGCTTCAAAGGGTCATTTGAACTCTTTTTGGGCTTTCAGAAAAGAGCTCCAAACGATCACTGGGGACTGGGGATCCACATGGCGCTAGCCAAACCTGCGCCTTTCTGACAATGGTGACCTCTTGTCTACTTTAGTTAATCGTTAGAGGAAAGTGTTATGGGTCTGACGGTTCTGGCGTCTTGAGCCAGAACTTTGACCAGGAGGCTCAGACACCTGGGCTGGGGCCCAGTAGGCCAAGGAAGCTATTGTGGCATGCTAAGTGTGGCCGGGTCCAGCCAGGTCCACTGAAAATCCAAGATGTAAGCACGCAGCCAAGGGTTATGCTTAGTTCCCTGTGTCTCTCCACTCAATCCCCCCCACCTGTTTTCTTTGCCCCAGGGTTCCATATCCATCTCAGGGCTGTTAGGAACAGCCAGGCAGGTTGTGCAAGACTGGAGCTGATATTCACTTCCACCCTAACGTGAATATCATCCCCTCCAGTTGTGCAACCTGAGGCTCTGGCCCACCTGATAACCTCATCCCCCTTACCTGAAAGAGGAGCTCCTAGAAGCCCACCGATGCTCTCTACCATCTGCAAGAGTCCCAGGCCACAGTATATTCTTCCAGTCCCCACCAGTTCCGGCAGGATGGAGAAAGCCACCGGTGTCAGGGCTCCTGACGAGAAGCCATAGGACACAGCCAGAGCCACCAGGACTGTGGGTGCCTGGGCCACAGGAAACAGGGCCAGTGATATCCCAGTCAGGGTGGTCCAGAGCATCAGAAGTCGAGACACAGGTCCTGGGATTGCATCCCCCAGCCACCCAGAGGCCACACGCCCCACAAGGTCAGAAATTGCAATTACTGAGAGGAGAAAGGCAGCAGGCAATGGGTCCCAGTTCAGGTCCTGGAGATGGGCCACCAAGTGGACATAGGGAATGAAGTAGCCAGTGTTGATCAGGGTGAGGGCAACGGCATAGCGGAGGAAGGGGCCGTGATGGAGGAGGGAGGTGAGTTGGGCCCCTGGGCCACTCATAGTGGGATCCTCAGCCAGGGAGAGGGGGCGAAGGAGAGCACCACAAACCAGCAGGTGGAGGGAAAGGGCAGATACCAGCAGTAGGGCCCCCCGCCAGGCATAGTGGCTGAGCAGCCACTGGAAGAGGGGGGCAAAGGCAAAGGAGGAGAGGCCCACGCCCGTCAGTGCCAGTCCTGTGGCCAAGGAGCGCCGGCGAGAGAAGTACCGGGACAGGCAAGCCAGGGTCGGAGTGAAGGTCAAGGCCCAGCCAGAGCCTGCCAAAAAAGAAGTGAGGGTTAAGGGACTTAGGGGGGTCCAGAGCCTCCAGCAATCCCAGCATTGCCCAGCAGCAGAAAGTAGCCCGGCTTTAGCAGTCTCCAAGGGCTGGATTAAAGTCTTGGTTTTGAAACTTTGTAGCTGTGTAACCTTGTGTGTTTGAATCTCTCCGCCTCAATCGCTTCATCTGCAAAATGGAGGCAATTTATCTGATGGCATAGGGGAGGATTAGAGACCAGGTTTACAAAGGAACTAGTCCAGAACTGGGGCGCCAGATCTGGCAGTATGACCTTCATTTGTCAACATGCATACCCTTTTAAAAAGTCTTTGTCTCTAAAGAGGGTGATGCTACCCACTTCACAGAACCTGGCACGATTTTATAGTTCTCACTCTTCCACTTCCGTCCCACGAATATTCTAACCCATTACCCTCATTTCCCAAGCCTGGTTTATCAACTGCCTCTCTGAGTCATTGTCCTAAAAATTCCCTTCTGCACTTCAATTCTAGCCATACTTTCCCCAGCCTTTTGGAAGGAGCAGGGGGGAAAAGCCCAGAGGCTAACAACCCAAGCATCTTAGTTCCCCCTTCTTGCCCAGGGTCTCACCTGAGAGCAGCCCAATACTCAGGTATAGGTGAGTTAAGGAGGTAGCAAAGGAGGCAAGCAGCATCCCTAACGCAGCCAAGATGCCCCCAGTCATCACCACGGGCCTGGGCCCGAACTTGGTGCTCAGAGCACTGCCCACTGGGCCTAGGGAAGAGGAGGGTTTTTTTTGGTTTTCAAGATCTCAGACATCCTTCCCCGGCATCTCCTCCTTCATCTCCCCGGCCCCTGTCCCCTCCACATCCAGTCTCCCTTCCGAAGGACACAGGACTCTGGACACAAGCGCAGCACTCACTCCCAAACTGCTGTACCGCAATTCCTATAGAGACGATCCAGGAGACGCGCGCGGCTTGCTCCTCAAACGCGGCCACGAACTCCAGGAAGAAGACGCCGAAGGAGCGGAGCACCCCGAACACCAGTGCCGCCTGGAAGAACGCTGAGAGCACCACCATCCACCCCCAGCCCCCGTCTGGGGGTTCAGCCCTGCGCGCCATCTGCGTGGTCACAGGGCTGCCGCCAAGGCACCAGGCTCAGGATGTTCCACCTCTGCCCACCCCTTCGCCCCCCTCCCAGCCGCCCAGCCCGGCGGGTCCGGGCTGAAGAGGCTGGTGGAGACGAAGGGAGTGACGTAGGATTAAAAACTGCCTAAGGAACAGCTATGAGCGCCTGCGCCCTTACCAAGAGGGGCGCCGCGGGAGGTGAGACCTGGCGGGCGCTGGGCTCTCTTTAAACTACTGGGGGCGTGGCTCCGCTGGTTGAGCCTGCAGGTCGGGGCGGGGCCAAGGCTTAGTCTGGGACCCGGAGAGCAAGGTTGCTTTTAGATCACACCCCTGGGACGCACCAGACTCCCTTCAGGTTATCTATTTTCTCGCTGGAGCTGTCAGCACCTGGTCCATCCGGGCCAACATCCTGGTGCACAGCTGACCAATGAGGAGCAGCATACAGGAGCGGGGGGTGGGACCTAAAAGGTAGGGCGGGGTTTAGGGTCTTGTTCTGGAGGGGAGGGGGGCTGCGCGATGAGGAGGGAGCATGCGTAAAGAGGGGGTTTTAGAGGTGGATTAGCTGCGACTAGCAAGGCCACTAGTTCGAAACCATCAGCCGTTCCTTGGAGAGAGATGAGGCTTTCTACTTCTGTAAAAAGTTAGTCTCAGAAATCTAAAGCGGCAGGCAATTCTATTCTATCCTATTGGGTCGCTCCGAGTTGGAATCGAGTGAGTTTGGTTATTTTGAACATAAGGCCCAGTCATTTAGGGACCTGCTACGCAGCTGTTTCCACAAATCGCTAATCTGACCAATTCGTTCATCAATCAGTACCAAGACCGCATGTCAACAGCCAGGGGGAAAAATGAGGAGCTGATGCCAGGGGCTTAGGTGGAGAGCAAATGTTTTGAGAATGATGAGGGCAATGAATGTATAAATGTGCTTTACACAATTGATGTATGTATGGATTGTAATAAGAGTTGTATGAGCCACTAATAAAATGATTTTTTTTTAAAGCCAATGAGTGCTGGGAAGGTCAGGGGGGCTGGTGGGTAAATTGGTTTAGGAATGGAAAGCTGGGGCTGCTTAATGAGGGCCCCAGGGGTTGCAAGTCCTTGGAGATGGGGAGGACAGAGGTTAGGAGATGAAGCTCAAACCACATTCCAGGTATCTAGATTCCAAGATCCCTAAATGCCTGAGGGAACTAGGGAAGGGAGAAAGGGAAGGAGCTGGTGGACTCCCTGTGGAAACTGTTACCACCAACAGGAAACCTACAGGCTACAGAGACCAAAAATAACTGAGAGGAAGGGCAGCCCTGAGTTCACCAAGGGCCCCACTCACCCCGCCGCCCCCCATCACCCCTTCCTCACTGGGGCTGGCTGGAACATTTTCTTCTTCACTCTAGTAATAGCCACTTCCGAGCCCCCTTTCCCCTCCACGATGTAAAGACTAAGTAGGTATTCTATGACCCTGCCCAAGTCAGCTCTCTTGGGCTTCATTGTAATTCCAGCTTTCTAGGACCCTGAGCTCTTGGACTTAAGGGTTCATACCCCGACGGGGCAGAGGCAGAACAGGAAGAAGAGAGGAGGGAAGATGTGCAGTTTTTTTAAAAAAAACAACCATCTGAGACTTATACTTTTACATGTGGAAAATAAAAATAATTATTCTCGGCTGCTTCCTGCACCCCCTTCCCCCGCCAATCTGTTCTAAAACAGAGTCAAAACTTTTGTTAGTTTGCCAAAAATGCAGAAATGGGTATGGTCGTGTAACATAGTGACACAGTGTACTCCTCAGAGTCAACACACGCTTGGTTTCCTCATCTGCTGGAGATGATAATAGAAGCTATTTTTGAAGATTGTTGTTTGGGGTGGGATTTGGGGGAGGGGGGGGAGACCGTTGGGTTAGAAAACCGTGCTCTAAAAGGCTTAGGTAAGGGTTTCTTACCATTAGTTGGTTTTTGACATTTCCAATTAAGCGATACATAGTAGTGGGGAGGGGGCTGAAGGAAGAGAGAGGTTTTAGTTCGGTTTCTTCCTCCCCTTCATTGTTTATTTTGCGGGGAGGGGAGGGGTGTTGTTGTAAAATTTAAGTCCAGGTCATGGGTTTGAAGACTGAGAACGACAAGCTGGAACGACAACTGCTAACTCTGGAAGGAACAGCTTCTCCCGCTCCCCCCGCAGCCCCGTCACCTTTACAGGACCCCAATCCTGTCCACTGCCCCCACTTCACCCCTCAAGCACTAACATTCCCAGCACAGACTCAGCCCTCCTGCTTCTTAGGATAAGTATTTGGTGGGTTTTTGTGTTCTCCCTGATGCCCCCACACCTCAGGCAGGAAGTGACTTCAGAGCAGCAGGATGCAGGTGGCTCCGGAGAAGTTTCATGAAGTCACAGGGTGGGTGGGGTGGGGGGTGGGGAGGAGCACGAGCCACTTGAAAAGGCTGGTGGGGTGGGATGGTCAAGGGGGCGCAGAATCCAATCTTTCTGTTTCTCCCACCCTCTTCACCAGCCTGCCCACCCACTTCCTTCAGTCCTCAGCTTTCCCATTGGCAAGAACCCAGGACACACCAGTCACCATAGAGAGGCTTCTTTATTCCAAGAATCTGGTCTTACAAGATTTAACATCTTGACTGTAGTCCTCCGCCTCCCACCCCCACCCCAGGCCCCCAGGCCCTCTCCACCTGACCATACAAGCTGCTGAATACAAGCTGTAGTTCCTTCTCACCCTTCCCCTCTGCTTTCCCTCCAATTCTGCAGTGGCCATGGGGCGCGAGAGGGAAAGAGACCTATAAGTAGTAGGTGACCAGTAGTAGTCACCAGTCCCTAAGTGTCGCCCACTAGTACTGACCTATCATGAGGAAGTTCCCCACCACCAATTCAAAAGTGCTCCTTACCCTCTACCCCTCACCTCATACTCAAATAAGTCCTCAGGCACCAAGGTGCAGGACAGTAAATAAAGGAATATCATGTGACATTCCAGAAACTCTGCCCAGCCAGGAGGCAAACCCAGTCCTAACTTTCCCCCGACTTGGCGGATACCCGAAACTGCTCCCCTCAGCCAACTCTCCATCCTCCTGGGATACCTTTTAACTACTAGGGGCCTTTGGCCCATCAGTCAGTCAATTGCAATCAACTCTTTAAACCTCAGAGCCCATCAATAACATCAACCATAAGCTACAGCAATTCCAAAATGAAACAGCCCCCTTTTCCTCCCTGTGGAAGGTACCGGTGCATTCTCTGGGTCCAGACACAAAGGCAGGGACCAAAAGGCTGGGTCACGGACCCAGCTTTTCAAAGGTAAGGCAGTTACCAAGCACCCGTGACATTTAGAGGCAAAGGGGAGATGCCAGACAATACCCACAAAAGTGTTCCAGGAAGAAGGGGTCCTTCCCAAAGCACCTTTCAAAATCTGGCAGCCCAAAGCACCTTTCAAAATCTGGACACCTTTTCAGTACAGGATGGGTCATATCTCAGGTTTAGACACGGCAGAATTTTGTAATTCTCCCCTAGGAGAACCAGAAGTTATATAGTTTCTACTAAAATAGCTTAGACTTCTTTCTCATGAAATGATCAACCAGGAGTCCAGAACAGGCCTCCCTGGGAGGCTTACGGGCTCCCTCAAACCCAGGGTCACAACAGACGTATAGACTTGTGTGTTTACAACTGCAGTGAAACCAGACCCAGATGAGTGGACAGCTTAGGCTCTGGACCACCTTGCTGGGACGATCAACTTCCATACCTGCTGCCGCTAGGGGGCATTTCACTTCCATTTCCGGCTCACCAGCAAGGTTCTGGTCGTGCTTGAAGAACAGAGGAAAAAACCTAGGTCCAATTCTAGCCCGCTAGAGAACCTGGAATGTCCAGACTGTCAGAGAGGGTTCCTGACCCAATTCTACAATGCCCATCTGCTCCAGACCTACACTACACTGGAGCAAAGGAAACGTATCCCGGCCTGGGGATGAAGGGACAGAACAAAGGGAACCCGCGCTCTGTTCGAAACAACCCATCAGGCACACAGACCGGACACAGAAGCACTCACTCCAAAGGTGGAAGTTATGACAATAACAACAATAATACAAAAGACTCAGGCCAAAGGAGAGAGCCAAATGCTAATCTCTGCCAGCAGAGCTGTGACCCCCACATGCTGTGTTTTGGGTCACTTTTTATCACAACTGTGGAAGGGAGGGGTGGGATGGGAAAGACAATTGAATGAAGGCCTGGGTAGCTCCCAAAGGCCTCAATAAATTATATTTACACATAAACCGAATGAGATGTGGGGGGGCTACGGTGGAGGGCTGTTCTCCTAGGGCAATCAGCCCTCCAATCTCTCTGCTCCCCTAGCTTGCTCTCTCCTCCAAGGCAATTTTGATTGTGGGGAAGAGGTTTTGGCCAGCAAAACAGAGGCAGATCTAGCCGGGACCTGCCACCCCAGCTCTTCCCGGGGAGAAATCCAGGTGGCGGAACAGTGTCTGATACTGTCGAGGCTTTGCCCACTCCCTTGCCTTGGTGTGGCCCGGAAGAAGCCAGGCCTGAGCCTGCAGCATCCTGGCTTCCAGGAGGCAAAGGGGACCTGGGCCCGCCTCGGCTAGGGCGCCCCAAGAATGTGGTAGTGCACTTTGGTGTTGGTGGCAGCTCCGTGTTTTTGGCGCAGATGTAGCCGCAGTTGACTCTTGTGCCGGAAATGCAGGCCACAGGGGTCGCACTGTGGGAGAACAGAATGTCAGGTTCCTCCCCGGCCCCAGCTGCCTTTTATTTCTTCAACAAGGGCGGAATTGTTCCACGCTCAGCCAGATGTGAAGCCCACATGTCCTCCCACACCCCCAAGGGCAACCCGGGAGAGGTTCCCCCACCTGGACCTCCACCCTCTTCAGGAAAGGTTTCCTACTTGCTGGTTTCCCTCCCCCTCACCAGGCAGCCTCTGGGTGGCACTGGGCTACCTACCGAAAGACTGTGGGTTGGAACTCAACCAGCGCATCATAGCACAAGCCCTAGCAATCTGCTTCCGGGAGGTCAGCCAGGGCCCGGAAAGCCCTGTGCTGCGGCAGAGGCACCAGGGGCTGGAGGGCAGCACTCTAGGGCAGCCGGTTGGCTTTTCTGTTTCTTTACCTCCTCTAGGGGAAATTACTGCTGGCCTCAACTTGGAGTATTAACTTCTGCGTCATTGCTGCCCTTCCCTGCCCCCAACCCTGATCCAATCACCACAGAATCCTCCAGACCCCCCTGACTCAGCAACCCTATCGGTCGGAGTAGACCCGAACTTGGGGTGTCAGAGCCTACACATCATCACCGGAGCAGACAGCCGCATCTTTCTCCCAGGGAGCGGCTGGTGGGTTTAAACGGCAGACGGCAAGGTTCGCCAGCCCAACGCTTAACTCATGGTGCCACCAGGGCTCCTGGATGCCTCTCGCTGCCATCGAGTGAATTCCAACTCATAGCCAGCCTATAGGACAGGGTAGAACTGCCTCCGTGGGGTTTCCAAGACTGTAACTCTTTATGGGAGTGGAAAGCCCCATCTTTCTCCCTGAGCGGGCTGGTGGTTTTAAACTACTGACCTTGAGGTTAGCAGCCCAACACGTTAACAACTATGCCATCAGGGCCCCTTTGGACCCCTCTAGGCCCTGCCCATTTCCAACAGATCTGAGGATTGCAAGACCGTCCCCTCTCCCCCTCCCCCCATCCCTCAAAGCTCTGTCCCTGGGCTGGCGGAAGGCCCTTCTAAGGCTATGGGCCAGAGCAGATACCTACGTGGTAAGGCTTCTCTCCCGTGTGGATGCGAACGTGGCTCTTGAGGGTTTGTAGATGGCGGAAGCGAGTCCCACAGGTGGGGCAAGGGTAGGGTTTCTCCCCGGTGTGGATCAGCACGTGTGCACGTAGATGAGCCACCTGGGAGGGGAGGAGACCTCAGATGGAGCTTCTGGGAGAGACAGAACCCTCCAGACACCGCCCTGCCGGCCCTCCCGCAGGTTTGCCTCTCGACCGACCCCCTTCCAGGCTGGCTCCCTACCTGCACAAAGCAGGAGCCGCAAGTCTCACACTTATAAGGCTTCTCTCCGGAATGGATGCGGCTGTGTGTCTTCAGGTTGGCGGGCCTGTTGAAGCGGGCGCCGCAGACAGAGCAGTGGTAGGGTTTTTCTCCTGTAGGCGGCGAGGAGCGGAGGTCAGGCCCGCGGCCCCGCTACGCCAGTGGCCAGGAAGGTCCCAGGGCCCTCTACTCCCAGCTGTGTTACTACCTGTGTGCACGGTTCGGTGGCTGGCCAGGTTGCCCTTGTAGCGGAAGGCAGAGCGACACAGCTGACACTTGTAGGGCTTGTCCTCCTGCCCAGGAGCCAAGGGGTCCAGCCCTGACACACACCCAGCCATGGCCTCACACTTCTGGCAGCTGAAAAAGTCACTTCCTGGGCAGGCGAGGGGGTAATGACAAGAGTACTTCATCGGTCATCAGCGAATTCTCAAGCCACACGGTGGTAGGGTATTTATTTTTGTTTTTTTTCCTCTCCCCCAGTTTACAGTGAAAGTTTCTAGGACCCCTTCCGCATGCCCAAGGCCACATGGTTGAAAAGAGGACAGACCGAGTGACCCCACACCTGTGACCCGACCCCTTGGCGTCTCTCCTCTCAGTTAGTGGTGGCGGGGCAGTGGAGGGCCCTGCTAGTGGATGGAGCTGTGTTTCTCCTCTAGCATCCTTCTGAGGCTGGCATGCCAAAGAGGTCCAGCCAAAGGCTGGGAAGACAACTCAGCCCTGCAGGGGGCGCTGAGCATTCCCAAACTTTGCTGCTCACTGAATGGGAAGGATGCCTGGTTCCCATGTCCAGATGTTCTGATCTCAGGAATGTGGCTTGGGCATCAGGCTTTTTCAAAGGTCCCCCATACTCCAAACTCACTGCCATCAAGCAGTGCTGACTCATAAAGATCCTATAGGACAGAGTCGAACTGCCTCTGTGGGTTTCCGAGGCTGCAAATATGAATGGGAGCCGGAAGCCTCATCTTACTCCTGCAGAGTGGCTGGTGGAGGCGAACTGCTGCGTAATGCCGCGCTACCCCACAGGGCTCCAAAAGGTCCCTAAGGGATTCTAATTGGTAATCAAGGTGAGGAACCATTGCAATAGGCCTTTCCAGAGACATTTTGGCCCAATGTGGCCAGAAGCAGTTGCAGGAGAAAGGTCAGGAAGAAGGGGCTCTCACCTGGTGGTGGATTAGCCCGTTCAGAGGGCGATCCAGTGGTCTTGTGAGCCTGGGGTGTGAGGAGATGAGGGGTATTGGCTGGTGTTCCAGATTTGAACTGTATGGTGGCAGCAACTGGAGAGAGCCTATCAGAGGGCAAGGCCCCGAGAAAAGGGTTACGAGAGATGATTACATGGGGTTCTCCCTGAAGCACTTACAACCAAAGCCTTACTCTCTGGAGCTACTACCCGCCAATGAGCCATTCCCAATTGGCTGCCAGAGTCCCACCTATTAAGTAAGCCTGGCCTCACTCCCTAAGGCTACCAGTTGCCTTCAAGTCAATTTGACGCACAGCGACCCCATGCATGTCAGAGGGCTGACTCGATAGGGCTTCCGATGGCTATTGCTAATTTGGGATTTGATAGCTAGGTCTTTCTCCAGATGTGGCCCTGGGTGGCCTTGAACCTTCAACCTTTCATTTAGCAGCCAAGTGTATTTGCTAGGGGGCTGGTACTTTTGATAGGCCTCCCACCCCCAATCTCCTGACCACACAAGGCCTTTTCACAGCCTTAGCTCCAGATTGTGTACCTGCTCTGGGGACCAGGGATGGGGCCTTCTTCACTGCTGCTGCTACTGGAGGCCTCATCTCCACTGGGGAGCCTGGCTTGGGGGCAAGGGTGACCAGAACTCCTCTCTCCTGACAGACTCCTGGCTTGAGAGTTTAGCACGATGAACTTGTACTTTTTCCAATTGCAGGCTTTTGGGTCTGGGCTGGCCGGACTGGGGGGATCTTGACTGCAGCTGGACTCAGTAGGTGGGTCTGGGTGTCCTTCGGAGCGCCTGGGACTGCCTGGCGGAGGGGCTGTTGGTGGTGTGGGGGGCTCTGCCTCCTGGGGACGCAGGGAGATGCCCAGAGGTTCATAGCTGGGGAAAAGTTTCATAGATATTAGTGTTATTGGCTAACCTTGGCCTTTGCCCTTTGAACTTGGGGCACCACCTCATCTACGCTGAACTGAGCCAGGGCTTCCTCACCTGGCCTGAATGAAGCGGTGGCATGCCTGGACCACATGTTCCATCTGCAAATAGGTGGCAGCTGCCAGGACAGCTGGGGCGGTGGCCGGAGAGAGGCGCAGGCGCGAAGTATACATGAAATCCAGCAGAGGAGCAAAGCCTCCGGCTTCGGGGCCCCCGGGCAGGGAGAGCACGTCCACCCCTACTCCTGTACGGCCTCGGAAAATTGAATAGAAGAAACCACTGGAAAGAGGGCAGAGAAGTTCGGTTACTGGATGGAAAACCAAGGGCTCTAGCCACTCGACAAAGCCAGACCTCCAGAAGCCCCTCCTCCCTCACTATCACCCCGCCCCAATTCCGGATAGCTCCACCTCTTGCTTCTCTGAGCAAGATTCAAATTTCACTCCGGTGGACCTGATGGCCCCGCCCCTTCTCTGGCCCCGCCCCAACCCGTGAGCCCCGCCCTTCAGGCGCTAGGAACCTGCAGGCGATGAGAACCGCCTTGTGCGCTTGGAGAGGTTGGCCGCCAACCAGCAGCGTGACGTCAGTGAGGATCCCGCGCAGGCGCAGCTCATTCAAATTGCCCAGTACGTCGGAGGAGTGGCGTGTGAACTCGCGGACGTAGCCCAGCGCTTCCTCTAGACCTGCCGAGGAACCCATAGCGACGCCGGCCTGCCAAGGGCGGGGGTGGGGTGGGGTGGGGGCTCAGGGGTCCAGGCAGGTCTAATTCTGAAGATTCCACGACTTTTCCCTTCTTCAGTTTGCTTTTCCCTTCTGAGGTGTAGCCAGAGGCCCGGCCTCAGCTCACCCGCTCTCTTAATTCATCATATTTCTTCTGTTCTCAACCACACACGGCCGCTCCTCTTCCTCCTCCAGCTCCCACTGCACTTGGGAGGGATGAAGGTTCCCACACCCCGGCGTCGGTGGGGAGCGTGGAGTATCCGGCACGCAGCGCCCCCAGTTTGACCCCCAATACCCCAACTCCCCTCTCACTCGCCTCGCACCTGAGTCCACCCCAGCCTACCCACAAACATCTCCAGTTCTCAGTCGAAGCTCCTTTCCCCAACTACCGAAACCTCCTCCATCAGGTCCCCGATCCTTGGTTTAGCCCAATTCCTGATACTTAGTTTTCCTCCCATCAACCAGCCCCAAACTCTCTTAAGACCCCCAGGAGCCTGGACCCTTCAGCCTCACTTTTCTTACCCCCGTCCCGCAGGGGCTGCGGCTTCTCCTCTCCAGGGGGGCGGGGTCGCTCTCTCCTCAGGGCCCAGGAGCCTTTATCTGGCCGGGATGTCGGGGGCGGGGGTGGAGGTGGGGTGACCGCCTGGATCTGTATCCTTCCTTCCTCCCTCGCCCTCCAGCTGGCAAGTCTGGGGCGGGGTCTCCGGCTTGAGGGCGGGACCTCCGAAACCAGGGGTGGTCGTAAGCGAAAAGTGAGGGGGGTCTTCTTGGGCCACCGACGGTGGAGCTGAGGATGGGGATGCTGGAATTGAGGAGGAAGCTGGGGACACCGAGGTTGGAGATCAGGGGGAACTGGATCTTTGGAGGGCGTGGGCCAGGGAAAATTGGTGCGGTGGTTTTGGGGGCGTCGGTACTGTGGGCGTGTTGCAGACGAAAGTGAACCGAGCCATCCATACTCCTGCAACCCACGCACTGTGTTAAGGAGAAGCGAGGGCGCCCGGCGAGCCATTAGGTTAGGGAGGCTAGTGGGCTCCCGTGGGGTCTCCGACGTAAGAGCGCATGGTGCAAGTGGCCGGCTGCCTAAAGGGTCCTACAGAAAGGGAGCCTCTGGCTGGGCGGGGTGGGGAGGTGGCGGATATGATTTCTAGTTGGTTTCCTTCCATTGTCCTGCGGCCGGAGGCAGCTGCTTCCTTCCCCTTGAGGAGGTGGGGAAAGCCCCGAGTGGGGGTCGAGAGACCTAGGCGTCCATCCTCACGCTCCCAATTCTCTTTTGAATCCTTTTAGGGGTCCAGAGAGACATACATATTCAAAGCCCGGCCTTCTGCTCCCTGTCCCAGCTCGCTAGGGCCTCTGGTAAACCGACTGACC